AAAAAAAAAAAAAGAACTCAAATGGCCATGAGAAAGGAGGCCATCTAAAAAATTCTATCATGGTTTTGGCACCTTAATAAAGACACGCCTCATCTATCTCAAAAGCTTTCTCCCTGGCCCTTAGACAGGTCCTTTCCTCTCCCACTCTGCTTCCTTCTTGCTCCCATCCTACCCTCATTTAAATCCTCTTTTTTCTCATAGGCTCTTGAACACGCAATGAATACTATGGAAGTCTATGTCTTCAGGCCTCCAAAAACCAACCAAACAAGAATACCACTACCATAAAACCATTGGGTTTCAACTTAGGAAGGAAAGAATGAGAAGGAAAGTTATCTCCAAAGAGGGCAGAAGAACTGGCCTGCCACTGAGGGTCAGCCTGACACAGGTGAGGTGACCCAGGGAGTGGAAAACTTGTGCGCCCAGATCACTTTGCCTTTCAGGGATCAGCTCCCTCACCTGTAGAGTGGGGTTAATAATGCGGCATCCAAACCAGCAATGATGATAATCCTTGTTAACTTTACTGGACTTATATTTTCAGTGCTTCTCAAATAAAAAGAGAAAGTATGTTCTTTCTATTCTAGGAGGCATGGGGGTGGTGCCTGTGGCTTAAAGGAGTAAGGCGCTGGCCCCATGTGCCGGAGGTGGCAGGTTCAAACCCAGCCCCGGCCAAAAAACTGCAAAAAAAAAAAAAAAAAGAAGAAGAAATAAACTGTTGTTATATTCTAGGAGGCATAGCCAAAACCCTACCACAAGTGCTAACGGTTTCTTTGAGGTCTTGTAATAAAAGAACAAAAATGTGTTCTAATGCACAGTCTATGTTTATTTTCATATAAAAATGTTTTAAATTGCCTTTGATCTGTCACGTACTACCTGTTTTACCTTGGCCAGGTCATTTAACTTTCAGCCACTTTCCCCAGCTGCAAAATACAAATAATAACGTTTGTACACCACCAGGGTGTTGTGAGAATTAGATGAAATAATGCATGTAAAATGCAGGCAAAGCAAGTGAGGATCCATGAATGTCGGCTATAATTAGTAT